TCTCTCTCTCTATCGCTGGTGCTGAGAAATGATTTTTAGAGCTGTCGCTACTGTTTGGCGACACGATTTATCTTGCGACTCCAATTGCCCAATTCCAATTGCTTTAGATCAATGATCGATGAATCGACGGTCGCGGCTTTTCTTTTCATTTCAATTTCAACCTTAACTTCAATCGCAATCGGCTTTGGCTTTGGGTTTCGGCTTCGGTTTCGGTTTCGGTTTCAATTTCTCAATTGCCCAATTGCCCCAAAATGCGTTTTGGCATTTGGAATAACGAAACCTTTAATAAAATCAGCTCTCACATAAAACTGTGTAATTACGGTCAGGCAGTCAGGCAGTCAAGCAGTCAGTCAGTTGCCGTTTAAAGGTTAAAACTCAGCATTTAAAATTTTTAAAAGCCGTTAAAGTGCATTAAACAACAACAACAACAACAACAACAGCACACAATGACAATGACAACAACAAGCAACAATAACAACAATTAACGAAATTACGCTTTGTTCCAAATCACAAAGCTTAGCTCTTTCTATGCTCTACACACACACACACACAAACACACTCAGACACACACACACACACACACTTCGCCTTTCCATATTTTGGCTAAAGTTCAAAACGTTTATAGCCAACAAAGCCAATATTTTTATTGCATTAGACAAAACCTTTATTACAGTAATTAAAATAAAATACAAAATATGAATATCAATAAAAGTAATAATAATAATAATGTCATAAAATAGAAGCCTTATTCATGAAATTAACTAAATTGGCTTTTAAAATGTTTTAAATATTCCAAGTATTTGCGTTCATGATTGTTATACTTGCTTATTTGAAAGCATGGAGCATATTGGTTTTGCAGTGGAAGTTGGTTCCTTATACATAAATATATATTTATATATAGTGTGGATATATGATATGAGAATTTGCGTTATATGGACATGAACGTATATATATCTGATATGGTCTACAGATTCTTTAATGAGGGCCATATAAATTCCTCTGAATTTTGAATACTTTCTAGCTCTAGCGTGAGACTTGAAATATGAAATATTTATAATAAATTATTTAAAATGCATTATCAGAATGATATTTTATATACACTGAGTAACATTAATATTCGGGTTCTTTATTCTTCATCTTTTTCCCGGTTAATTATAATCTTTGTTAGCATTTTCAATTTTTTAATTTCAATTAAAATTATAAAATAAAATTATTAAAATTAAAATTAATATTTTTTATTGAAGTTGAAAAAAAAAAAATCGAATATTAATGTTACTCACTGTATATATATATATATTAATATAGGTTTCATATATCAATTTGTCATATATATTAATACTCTAGCTAGAAATACATATGTACACTGCTCTACACAGTTATGCTCACATAACTGCACCACTTCATTCGATAAACCGACAATTGGGAAAGTCAATTGGCATAAGGTCATAATGAGCTGAAAATAATGAAATAATTAAGTGAACTGCTTGTAGTAGCTTAGCCCAATTGATAGTCGCAAGACCCAGTTTCCAGACATGCGCGCAGCTTGGAAACCGCAAAGAAATGAAACGATATTCGTATGAGTATTACGAATATGAAACTAACGGTGCACCATCCATATAATGGAAGCCAAAGGCAGATCTTCACATGGCATGCAACACGTCTTTGAGGCAAACAGCAATTGAGATCGTTATGAGTTTTATTATACACAGGTTATACCTACATATCTACATATACATATGTATATGTATATATATATATATATTTCGTTCGATTCATATGCGTATTATTTCATGCACTCATTCAGCTTCATTCATTGTGCAAATGAATGGCAATTGTTTGCTTACAATTTTACCGCTACGAATTGGGGGCGTCTCTTGACAAGCTCATCAAGAAAAGTAGATTATACATACATATATGCATACATATATGTATACATATATTTATGAATGTATAAGTAAGTATGTGAATATAATTGCAAGTTTGTATGTTTTATTCATTGAGTGTCTCAATTAATATGTCAAATATTTGAAATATTTATTCAAAAAAAAGCAAAAATTGTTGCTTTAATAAAGTTGAGTCTGAGAGCGTGAGCTAACATAAATTATATATATATTTTCATAATTATATATAATTTATATTTTTTTATAGCAATAACTTTTCACACCTTTCGAGTGTCGGACGCAGCTATATGAGATCAAATGAATAAACAAAAATATCTATGCTATTAAATGTATGCTATTATAATAATTATTATTTATTGCTTTTCATACAGCACATGAATTAAATAGAATTAAAGTTTGCAAAGAAATATTATTTGAAAAAGTAGAAAATTACATACATAACTTAGATTATATACATTTATATATATATTTTTTTATATTTTATTTATATATTTTTTAATTTTTTAATCATTTTTATTATTAATACTATTTTTAATTATTTTTTTTTGATTTAATTAGTTTAGGTTAAAAAAAAGGAAATAATAACTGATGCGCCCTTGGCTGAATTTTTCTCAACATTTTCATACAACTTTTATTATATTTTTATTTTACAGGGTATCTGCTAGTTGGGCACGCCCTTCGCTCGCCCACTCTGACTTGCTCATAAATAATGCCACTGAATTTATGTGAGCATTAATATACATTGTATTTTATTATTATTTTTACTTTTATTTATTTCTTTTTTTTTTTTTTTTTTTTTTTTTTTTTTTTGCAATGAAAAACTGAGGGAAAATGTGAAGAAAGGAAAATTGTGCTGCCGACTGCAGGCAGCTCGGAACAATGGACAAGCCAGGCCATAAAGTACATGTACATATATAAATATATATATATATATATATATATATGTGTGTGTGTGTGTGTGTGTGTATATGGGCTGCGCCCATCAGCCAAAAGGGGGCAAATGGGCAACTGGGACTGAAGACAGCTCTGTCGACCGCATGACATAATGACACAGAGTCAAGAGGGGGAAGCTCTTCATGTGAGAAGTGAGGCAGCTGCGGCTGCTGCTGGCTGATAAACAAAAGAAATTAACTTGGCTAACTGCAACATCAGCAAGCAGCAACAACAATAATAGCAACAACAACAACAACAACAACAACAACAACAACAATACGGAAGCAAGTGCACGAGGCAGATGAGACAAACGAAGATACCCGGTTTGGCCAGAGATGGGCACCAAAAAGTTATTGTTGCTGCCGTTGCTGTTGTTGTTGCTGTTGTTGCTCCTGCCGTTGTTGCTTTTGTTGGCGATGTCGTAAGCTCCAGCATCTGGGAAAATGTTTGTGGATCGCATTAGAGTGTTACATGTGTAGACATTTGTATACGATGTCTGCGTGTGTCTTTTGTTGCCTGCTGAGCTCTGATTAATTAGCTGCCCGTTTCTTTCGCTCATTTCTTTCTGTTGCCTGCTTTTCGTTACTTAACCGACAAATTGGCAAGTCGGGAAGACACCCGGCAGCCGGCGATGGGGCGGCGAACTGGGCGTCGATGGACGTCTTAACATGGCAGGCGTGGCAGAGCTGTCTTCGATATTTGCAAAGTAGTTGGGGTATTGATCAGCTTTTATGATCAATTATCGTTCGTGTGTAAGTGTGTGTGTGTGTGTGGGAGCGGCGTGAAGTATTTAATTGAAGAGCTTAGTACAAAGAAGAGAGAGGGAGCGGAATTTAAAGAGAAGAAACGGGATATCACCATGACTTATCAATAAGTCAAAAATATTTCAAGTCTACTGCAAATATATTCCTCGTTGAGGAAGTTTACTCGGACAGAGTGGAATTAGAATTTATAATGAAGCACGTAAAGATCTTGAGTTCTTGTTTCCAACTATAAGTTCAACATGTCTTATATGTTCTCTGTTAGTGTTCAAGATAGTAATTAAAATACAATGAAACGAGATTAGTTGTTTTCAGTTGAATAATGAATATACTATAGAAAACACTTCATGTATTATATATTATATATGGTACTTAAAATATAGTCTTTAATATATTAAGTTGAAGTTTTTAATTGAAGAAAAATAAAAGCTACTTTTGTAGCTAGGCTGACAAACATTCTATAGATATACTCAATTATTAACACATTTTTTATATGATCGAGCTATTTTTGATTAATTGAGAGATTTCAAGAATGATAAAAACTCATAAATGCCAAGATTTATGAGCATTTCAAGCAAAAAATACAGATTTTTTTTGTGTGGCAACAATTTGATATAGTAATTAAATAAAGTTTTGACATACGATATAGTGAGCTAATTGGAATGAAAAATGTATGGATATATCAGAAATATAAAGAGGGAAATAAAATGGGAAAGATAGGGAGAGATAAAGAAAGAGGGTAAGAGAAATATGGTGGAAAGAATTGAACTACGTAAACTTATGCAAATGAAATAGTGAGATAAAAGAGAGATGAAAGAGATATTGAAGTTTAGAGACAAAGGAATATAGAGAAACGGAAAGTCGGCAATAAAGAGAGATAAAGCAAGTTAAATGAAGAAGAGACTGGGTGCGATTGAGAGGGGATAGATGAGGAGACATAGAGAGTGTGAGATATATATATATATATATATATATGAAATATGATGTGAGAGAGAGAAGGTAAAGTGAGATATGGAGAACTATGGAGAGAAGGAGACAGCGAGAAAAATGAATGAGAGAGAAGGAACAATATTTAGAAAAAGAGAGAGACAGTGAGAGAGAGAAAAGGAAAAACGAAAGAAATTGGCATTAGATAAGCGGCGTAAGCCATAGAGAGAAAGAAGATGGAAGAATGCCAAAAGAAAGATGGAGACAGACAGCAGGCAATATACAATTTCCACCATATAGACTTGATATGACTGACTATATATGTACATATATGTATGTAAACATTTACTCAAGTAACTCGTGAAAATGAATATTCAAATTTCTATATAAATTTACAATTTTAGAATGTTTTTCACGAAAATACTTCCAGGTCCACGCGACCTGCTTGATAGCCATGAAAGAAGTTGACAAATATATATGTATTTTACATAATCTTGTTATATATTTATCTGACATACATATATTCAACAGACATACATTTTCAATTACATAGAACTGTGTTTACTGTGATTAATTTTGCAGGGATTTTGCGTAGCTGTTAGTTCCGTTCCTTTCCTCTCATTTCCTTCTCTATCTTTTCTTGCATCGATTTTTTTTTTTTTTTTTTTCTTTTTCGTTTTCATTTTAATTGTGTGTTCAAGTTCGGTGTGCAACGATATGCGATTCAATTACAACTGTAAAGCTGAGCTGAGGTGACTTGAACTGAGCTGAGCTGGCTTGCTCTTGGCCGAAATCACCATGAAGCGGGGCAAAAATTTGAGGCTTGCCACGCCCACGCGACGCCCATAACAAGCTACAAAAGAGACATGGCAACGAGAGTGGCAACAGCAGCAGCAGCTGCCAAAGTGAAAGCGATGCCACAAATCAAAGCCATCAGCTGCCCCCCGTTCGCTCGGTCTCGTCCCTCTCTATCTGTCTCTTTCGCTCACCCTGCAACCGGTTCAAGCTAATGCTATGGCTCGTTTCGCTGTTGTTTTTGCCGTTGATGACTTTATGCACCACAATTCTCAAAGCGAAAGGCCGCGGCCAGGTCGACTCTTGATCGAGGTGTCACTTTCGCTGTCGCCCACTAATTAAGTTGGGTCAGAGAGAAACAATAACAAAATATATGTATATATATATATAGATGATGAACTTACCTTTTGGCTGGCTGCTGGCTTCCTGCTTGGCTGCAGCGGCAGCCGGCGGCTTGGCCATGGCCAATGAGCAGCAGCCCAGCATCAGCATTAGCTTCAGCATTTGATGTCCCTTCAACATATTTCGTGTTTGGCGCTCGTTTCTTTTCTTCAAATTGTCGATATTGATAGTGGGCAACAATTGTTGTTGTTGTTGTTGTTGTTGATGAAAATCGCTTTTCGTTTATCGTTTAGCTATGTATGTGTTTATTTAATTTGCTATTGACCTGTTGATTGCTGCAGCAGCTGCATTTCACTTTCATATTGAACAACAGAAAAAGGCAAAAGTAAAAAATAAAAAATAAATAAAATAAAATAAGTTGATAGTCAGGCTAAGGAGACAACAGCAGCAGCAGCAGCAGCAGCAGCAGCAACAACAACAACTTTAGCAGCAAAGTGAAATTTTTGCTGGCTGAGAAGCAGGCAACACACACACACACACACACACACATACACAGCAGTGGCAAGTGAATTGTGTGTTGGGGTCACGCACTCCTGTTGCCAGTTGTTGTTGCTGCCAGTTGTTGTTGCTGCCAGTTGTTGTTGCTGTTGCCAGTTGCTGGCCATAAAAGTAAAAAGTATTTTGTTAAGCGTGTTTTAGCAGCAGGCATTAACAACAACAACAACAACAACAACAGCTGTTGACGTTGCTGCAACTGCCACTTGCCACAACGCCAACAAAGCTTGCAACACTATGCACAGTTATTTTTCTCTTTTTTTTTTTTTAAAGTATATTTCTATTTTTTATAAACAGGAAACTATTAGCGCGGAACACACAACGAGAAGCGAGAGACAGAGAGAGAGAGAGAGAGAGAGAGAGAGAGCGAATAAATTGCTCACAATTTATATTTTTATTGTTATTTTCTTAAGTGTATTTCTCAAGTATCGTTATTAATTTGCATTTTATTAATAATTTTATGGCACTTGTTGCTATTGTTGTTGTATCAATTATGTTGCTCAATTTTCGTTTTCGTTTTTCTTTTGTTTAGCTGAAGCACTTTGCAGTTTTGCTTAATGCGGAAATGCCGCCCAATCAACACTCGAAAAAAAAGAAAATACATTGGCAAAACAAAAAAAAAAAAGTGTGTATAGAAATAATTTAAAGTAAACACAAAGTAATTTAATGTTTATGTCCACAACACAGTAGAAAACGCGCACGAAACGCGGCAAAAACGCGCGTAATTGCAGGATGTGGAGAGATCTCGCGCGTCCGAAGGTGGCTCAACACTTCCGCGCCAACAGCAAGCTCACACACACACACACACACACGCACACACTCACAGACACTCATGCACGCACTTGCATTTTGTTTTCTTTTTCGGGATAACGGCAAACACAACAAACCCAGCAATCGAGAGTCAAGCGAAAAAAAAAAACAAATAGTCGAGTGAGAAACGCGACGATTGGCCAAGCGCTCGCTGCGAACGCCGTCAACTGTCTGAGCTGCGCGCAGGCGCCGTCAAACACTTTTAAAGCGCTGTAACAGCCGAGAGAGCGGGAGAGAGCGAGCCGAGCCAAAGCTATAATGAAGAGCGGCATGAAGCTGCGAGAGAGCGCAATGGCAACAAACACTGTGAGTGAGAGCGGGAGAGAGCGAGCGCAGTCAGGTAATAATTGAAGCTTCATGAATGAAGCGGCTCAACGATCAGCTGTGCCTTAAACCGGTAAACGTTGTAAGTGCTATGCGCAGCAATTGACGTTGCTGCTGCTGCGACTGCGACTGCGACTGCTGCTGGTGTTGTTGTTGTTGTTGTTCTGGTGGCCAGCACGTGACGCATTCAATTGGCAGCCCACGCAAGAGATAAAATACATATATCAGCTAGTCGAATTGCTAACGAAGAGAAGTCAATAAATGTTGTAGACTTTTGGTGATTGATTAAGTATGGAAAGGAACGCCGAAACGAAACAGAGAGAGATCAATAGAGACATAAAAGGAAAGAAGGGGAAAATTAAAGAAAGAGACGGAAAGTGAACAAGTGAGAGGGATGGAAAGAAAGGGAAGGAGAAAGAGAGAGAGAGAGAGAGAGAGAGAGAGAGAGAGATTTAGTCAGAAAATCTCCAGAAAAGATCAATTTCGAGAAAGAATGATGGAAATCAAGACAGAGAGAGGGAGAAATAAGAATGGTTGAGATTACGGTGGAGGAAATTCTTCGAGAGAGAATGATAGGAATAGAGTGAGAGAGAGAGAGAGGGAGAGAGAAAGAGAGAGCGACAGAAAGACAGAGAGTGACAGAGAGAGAGAGAGAGTGACAGGGAAAGAGAGAATGAAATAGAAATTTCGACAAGTAGAAGAAAAGCTCGTAAGAAAATTGAAACCTCGAGAGAGAATGATAGAAATAGAGACAAAGAGAGAGAGAGAAAGAAAGAGAGAGCGACAGATAGAGAGGGAGAGAGAGAGAGAGACAGAGAGTGAGAGAGAGAGAGAGAGTGACAGAGAGTGAGAGAGAGAAAGAGAGAGTGACAGAGAGTGAGAGAGAGAGAGAGAGTGACAGAGAGTGAGAGAGAGAGAGAGAGAGACAGAGAGAGTGACAGGGAAAGAGAGAATGAAATAGAAATTTCGACAAGTAGAAGAAAAGCTCGTAAGAAATTTGAAACCTCGAGAGAGAATGATAGAAATAGAGACAAAGAGAGAGAGAGAAAGAAAGAGAGAGCGACAGATAGAGAGGGAGAGAGACAGAGAGTGAGAGAGAGAGAGAGAGTGACAGAGAGTGAGAGAGTGAGAGAGAGAGAGAGATATATGTACAGTAGACAGAAACATCTAGAGATAAATCTCGAAAGGGAGAAATTTCGATGATGAAATAAATCTCAAGGAAAGAAAACCAGCAGAATTATCTTTTCTTCAAATTTAACCCCATAGTTAGTGAATTTGTATTAATGAATTATACCCAGCTATAGTGTTGAGCAGATCGTTTTCAGATCTTGTCGAGTAATGCTTACAGACAGCTAACTTGATTTTTACCGATCTGAAGCAGCTAGAAATTGTGGAACACATATGCATAGATATGCCATAATAAATTGCTTGAAGTTATATTCAAATTTAAAATCTCATTTCAATATCTCCTCTCTCCACTCCAGTAATACCCATATCTTTAGGTTTCCCAAATTTCTCTCTTGTCGTATTGCCCCATAATTGTCGGCCAAGTCCATTGCCAAATTGATTGGCGTCAACTGTTTCGGCTCATGCGCGCTGACATGTAATTAATTTGGCCAGCTCCAGGCGGCCAACTGGATGCAAGTTGAGCGATTGATGCTGCACAGCGACGTGGCGATGATAAACAGCCTCGGGCTGCTTTGCATATTTTAAATATGTATGTACCTCAGTCGCATGCATACATACATACATAATGATTAGCAAATTAACGCACGATTCGCACATCCGAAATAACTGTTTGGGCCCAGACCCAAGCGAACGATTTGCATAAGATATGAAATCGAAATTAAAAACGCGTTTCTCATTTCCCTAACTAGACTGTGACAAATCGCAACAATTTGGCCATATGATGGTCGACATAATTGACAGTTAATGAGAGATCATTTCGGAGATCTTTTTGAAGTGATCCAAAGTCTCTCTCTCTCTCTCTCTCTCTCTCTCTCTCTCTTTTGATTCACAATTCCATTTGAAGCAATTTGCTTAGGCAAGCTTAGCATTCGCATTAAATGGAAGAAATGAAGACGAGGGTGGCTCAAAGAGATGGTTATATAACTATTATAGAATAGGCAACTCTTTAAGCCACCCTCGTGGCACACACATGCATATCAATAACCACAGCTTTAGGAAACTCTTTGGGCTACCCATGCCAGCGATGTGACTCTGCGCTTTCAGCAATGTCAAATTGCACAATTGCAATAGCTGCAACAACAACAACAACTACAACAACAACAACAAGGACACAAATCACATTTGCTCTCAAGGCGTCGCGATGGCTGCCATTGGAAGCAAAGCGCGAATACAAAACACATCGGAGATGTGAGCTACAAAATAACAAACAAAGCATTGTTGAGTGCATTGCAGCCAGATGATGTCATTGATATGGCACAGTTTGCAAATACCATTAGCAAATACTACACACAACATTATGTACCAGATGGATAGTGGATAATACATACATAGATGCATGTAGGAGGGATGAGTACGAGATACAGCTGACACCAAGCAATCCAAATGGGAAAGGAATTTGCAGAGCAGAGCGAAAGAGCTGCATGAAATGTATTTGTATCTGTATCTGTATCTGTATCTGTATCTGTATCTGTATCTGTATCTGTATCTGTATCTGTATCTGTATCTGTATCTGTATCTGTATCTGTATCTGTATCTGTATCTGTATCTGTATCTGTATCTGTATCTGTATCTGTATCTGTATCTGTATCTGTATCTGTATCTGTATCTGTATCTGTATCTGTATCTGTATCTGTATCTGTATCTGTATCTGTATCTGTATCTGTATCTGTATCTGTATCTGTATCTGTATCTGTATCTGTATCTGTATCTGTATCTGTATCTGTATCTGTATCTGTATCTGTATCTGTATCTGTATCTGTATCTGTATCTGTATCTGTATCTGTATCTGTATCTGTATCTGTATCTGTATCTGTATCTGTATCTGTATCTGTATCTGTATCTGTATCTGTATCTGTATCTGTATCTGTATCTGTATCTGTATCTGTATCTGTATCTCTGTATCTGTATCTGTATCTGTATCTGTATCTGTATCTGTATCTGTATCTGTATCTGTATCTGTATCTGTATCTGTATCTGTATCTGTATCTGTATCTGTATCTGTATCTGTATCTGTATCTGTATCTGTATCTGTATCTGTATCTGTATCTGTATCTGTATCTGTATCTGTATCTGTATCTGTATCTGTATCTGTATCTGTATCTGTATCTGTATCTGTATCTGTATCTGTATCTGTATCTGTATCTGTATCTGTATCTGTATCTGTATCTGTATCTGTATCTGTATCTGTATCTGTATCTGTATCTGTATCTGTATCTGTATCTGTATCTGTATCTGTATCTGTGTATCTGTATCTGTATCTGTATCTGTATCTGTATCTGTATCTGTATCTGTATCTGTATCTGTATCTGTATCTGTATCTGTATCTGTATCTGTATCTGTATCTGTATCTGTATCTGTATCTGTATCTGTATCTGTATCTGTATCTGTATCTGTATCTGTATCTGTATCTGTATCTGTATCTGTATCTGTATCTGTATCTGTATCTGTATCTGTATCTGTATCTGTATCTGTATCTGTATCTGTATCTGTATCTGTATCTGTATCTGTATCTGTATCTGTATCTGTATCTGTATCTGTATCTGTATCTGTATCTGTATCTGTATCTGTATCTGTATCTGTATCTGTATCTGTATCTGTATCTGTATCTGTATCTGTATCTGTATCTGTATCTGTATCTGTATCTGTATCTGTATCTGTATCTGTATCTGTATCTGTATCTGTATCTGTATCTGTATCTGTATCTGTATCTGTATCTGTATCTGTATCTGTATCTGTATCTGTATCTGTATCTGTATCTGTATCTGTATCTGTATCTGTATCTGTATCTGTATCTGTATCTGTATCTGTATCTGTATCTGTATCTGTATCTGTATCTGTATCTGTATCTGTATCTGTATCTGTCTGTATCTGTATCTGTATCTGTATCTGTATCTGTATCTGTATCTGTATCTGTATCTGTATCTGTATCTGTATCTGTATCTGTATCTGTATCTGTATCTGTATCTGTATCTGTATCTGTATCTGTATCTGTATCTGTATCTGTATCTGTATCTGTATCTGTATCTGTATCTGTATCTGTATCTGTATCTGTATCTGTATCTGTATCTGTATCTGTATCTGTATCTGTATCTGTATCTGTATCTGTATCTGTATCTGTATCTGTATCTGTATCTGTATCTGTATCTGTATCTGTATCTGTATCTGTATCTGTATCTGTATCTGTATCTGTATCTGTATCTGTATCTGTATCTGTATCTGTATCTGTATCTGTATCTGTATCTGTATCTGTATCTGTATCTGTATCTGTATCTGTATCTGTATCTGTATCTGTATCTGTATCTGTATCTGTATCTGTATCTGTATCTGTATCTGTATCTGTATCTGTATCTGTATCTGTATCTGTATCTGTATCTGTATCTGTATCTGTATCTGTATCTGTATCTGTATCTGTATCTGTATCTGTATCTGTATCTGTATCTGTATCTGTATCTGTATCTGTATCTGTATCTGTATCTGTATCTGTATCTGTATCTGTATCTGTATCTGTATCTGTATCTGTATCTGTATCTGTATCTGTATCTGTATCTGTATCTGTATCTGTATCTGTATCTGTATCTGTATCTGTATCTGTATCTGTATCTGTATCTGTATCTGTATCTGTATCTGTATCTGTATCTGTATCTGTATCGTCGCGCTGTGTTTGGCTCTGTGCACTTGCCAGATTCGTTGACCGCAACTAAAATGCTATTGACCAAGTGACTCGGTTGCTTGTCGGCTGCTTGGCCTGTGCATCTGTGGCGTATCTCTTTTTACATGGCAGCGTGACACTATTCGGGCTCAGCTTCGATCGGCGCTGTAATTGATTATTTTAATTGCTTCGCACTTGATTGTCTCTGCCTGAAGCGGCTAATCAATTTGTTCAGCACTCGCGTGCACTAGTCCCTCTGTCTCCCTCTCTCTCTCTCTCTCTCTTTTGCTCTGTCTTTCTTTCTAGGGTGCTGCGGCACGCATTGAACTGTGGTTAAACGCCCACTGAAGGTCTTCGGCGCAGCTCGAAGCTCACAGCGCACAGTTCGTATCTTGAATGTATCTCAGTATTTGTATCTGTGTGTGTGTGTGTGTGTGTGCGTGAGTGTGTGTGGGCGCTCTGTGCCCGTTGCGATGTTTCCGCCAAGGCGCAATGGCAATGCGCAGCTCTTAGCGCTAATAGCAACGCATTCGCTAGATGCCACAGAGATAGCGCAGCGCGGGGCGTGCCTCAAATCAGGCTTAAAAGCAATTACGCACTCTGCAATGTTGTCAACGTTGGCTCCGCGTCCAACTTCCTGCTCCGAGCAACTGCGTCTGGGATGCGAAATCTCACACGAACATGCCAAAAAATAAGAAAAATCGAGGAAAAGGCGAACAGATAGTTTCGCTGGCAGTGCATTAGCCTGGCCAAATGCCAGCCAAACAGTCGCATTGACCAACTGCCAGACAAAGTAGGAAACAGTAAACAAGAAGAGGAGAAATTGCAAGTGCTACAAGAGGAAGAGAAGTCTACAGCAAAACTATTTTCAAATAAAATGTAACTTACTGTTAAAGCATTTAACATGCAGTTAGCTGATATTTAAATGCGTAAAGGCTTTGCTGCATTCGCAGGTGTTTCAGTCAGGATCAAAATTGTGTGAGAGAGAGAGAGTAAGAGCGGGAGATAGATAGCGATATAGGCATATCTTTCTGGCCGATCAGTTATTGGCAGCCGAATGAATTATTACAAAGTGCTCAGAGCATTTCAGTTTCATTAGCGACAACGACAACGCGACAACCAAACAAATGATGAGTGTTCCCCAAGCAACTCGATCCAAGTATATATATATATATATATATATATATATATATATATACACATATATATCTACCTATGGTGAGCTCTTGGCACATCGACTGGAAAACTGACGCCATTTGAGTTTCCCAATCGAAGCGGAAAATTAATGAAAGCATGCGACGATGCAGAGATAGATAAGGATTATTAAGTAAGAAAATTGACACGTTTATCTCTCTCTCTCTCTCTCTCTCTCTCTATATACACACACAGAGATATGCAGATATATGCATATCCAACTGATAAATCGTCGTTAGACGAAAATATCTTTTAATGTAGGATGTCACATTGAGAAAGAAAACCGGGCTAGAGTACTTTGTCAGGCAGTAATTGACTCAAAAGATACCCTGTTCTCTATGTGGAGCTCAACCTGGATATCTTTTGCAAACATACAATCCTACAGTCTCTTACTATGGAATGGTTTCTTATTAATTATATCTATCTATATATAGTAACTTTGGTATTTGTGGCCTTTGGATAGGAAAGTCGATATAATCGATCATTTTTAATGGATGTTGAAATATCGAAAAGTTCATCCATCTATATAGCCTTTATAGTTTATATATAGTTTTTATAGAAATGTAGGAAGCTGAACTGGGAATGTAGATGGACAATTCTAAATCATTTCAGCTGTTAGATGCATACTATAAAATACATATATGAATAATTTATATATTATATCCATTAATATCTCTCAACATCTAAAATTGACTTTACATGGGTAAATATTGGATTTTTGTATTGAGAGAAAATCTAGCTTATGAGGTAGAAAACTTCCAATAATATTTAATGGATATGAGAAAATACAGAATCTATAAATTCCTCTATATATATTTATTTATAATTACTTTTAATATAATATCAGAAATGGTTAATCTTTTCAGCTTTTGCTGAACATAAATTCAACTTAAGCTTTGCAGCTTTCGTTACAAGCTAGCAAAAAGCTTTACAAAGTTGCCGTCAAAGGTTTATGGCTTCGTTTTGTTCAAGCTCAAAAGTTTTTCTTCAAAGCTCAGCGAAAGCGCTGCACGAAAGCTCAGAGCCAAACCAATCGTAAACAACTGCTTTAAAGTTGACTAAGACAAGTTTGAAAAAGCCTAAACCACTTTTTATGACCATTTGCAGAAAATACGCTAAAGCTCTACCGTAAAAGTTTTTAGGGTTCTTTATCTAACTAAGCTGACTAAACTAAAAAAAACTTTGCTGTCTGAAGCCGTTGAATGGGGATATATGTAGATGCTGTAAATAGGAGAAACTGTAGTTATATACATACGTCCAATCCAGATGCTCCAGGCAATCGAGATGGTCAAGCGCACGCCCAGAAGCATAGGCGCATTATTCAGTAACAGCAAGTTTTCTGTTCAGATGAGAAATACAGAAACTTCCGTATTCCCATCTAGGACCAGACATCCGACTGTGTGACAAAACCGCAATAGATTTATGGTTAATAATAGAATAGACAATGTTATATAGCGAGAGCATGGCATTACCATTATATTTAAGCTCTTTTTCACGAATACGCGTAGACAAAAATTTTATTTTAAATTTTGAGAAAATTCCAAAAAAAAAAAAAAAAAAGAATAAATAAAATTTTGTTTTACTCCGACGAGAAATTTTGTTAGAATGACGATACGAATGTTTGTTACAGGCTCTAAAGGCCCAAACTCTGATCTCATGGCAATCTTGATTCGTTTCGAAACGGAAATGAATATATCATGAAGAAAAAGCCTACTATTTTAAAATAAATATTTAAAATATTATTTATTTCAGTTTAAAGCCTTTCTGATATAATATACATCGATAACATAAATCATAATAAACATAAATCGATTGATATATATTCAAATATAATATATTTAATTTATAATTTTTATTTAATAAATATTTTAATTCAAAATAATATTAATTTAATGTTTATCGTTAGCTTCTTTATTGCAAAAATTAAAAAAAAAAAACACACACACACACACTATCTAAGAAATATATTAAATATTTTTTACTGAAATTAAAGCTATAAATATTGTAACGATCGCTTCTCTATTGATATGTACAATTTATATATTTTATGTTGAATTTTTATTTAATATTTATATTATAATCGAAGCATTTTCAACACCGAGTCAGGGTAACTTCCAGTCGGTCATTTCTGTGCTCTACTTTTTCTAACTCCAACTGCAAAGGAGGCGAAACGGAGATTGACAGATGACAGAAGTTAAGTCTAGTTGACTTTCGAGATGAAACACAGATGTCCAACTCAAAGAGGGGGAGAGAGTGAGAGTGAGAGAGAGAGAGTGGCAGTGTGAGTGGAAGGGAGAGGAAGATGAAGAGAGCGGGCGCCGGAGATAGAGCAGGTTATTAAAATGTTGATTGATGCAATTAATTAACTCGGAATTGGCTGGTCGAGGACGAAGCCAAAGGGACATGGGCGCCCATTAAATGCAACCAGAGATTATATGTCAATTCTAAAAATAATAACGGACAGTAGCGACAGCAACAAACGCCACAATAAACGGATAATGAGGCGAACAATGAACAGCAGCAACAGGAGTCGGTCAAGAGCCAGGAGCAAGTGCGGGAGCGAAAGCAGGAGGCATAAGGCATGAGGCATGAGGCAGTCGGCAGCAATTGCGGCAGGAAGCGCTATCATTACGTCCATTGGCCATCGCATCCTGCGTGCGCCGGACTTCGGGCGCATTATTGTGGCAGCGATTTGTAGGCGGGCAACACTTTGGAATGCTCCATTTAGCAAATGCCGACCGCAAAGCGGGCTGAGGCAGACGTTGCTTTGGCAGGGGACGGATCAGATCTAAGCTAAGGACAAAACAAATGACGCACAGCGGACGAAGGGGAGGGGGCCCACCGAACAGACGGACTGGCGGACTGGCGGACGGGCGGGCGGAGAGACAGACAAATAGCATTCGCTTGAACGGGGCGCTTTGATTAAATGCGCGCTTGATTTGAAAATGATTTCATTAATTAAACGCGTCCGCCCACCCGTTGGCCCGTTGACCCCTTGGCAGCGCGACCGTTGCGATTTTCCGCTCCTTATAAGTGTTTGTTATTTTGACATTTAATTGAAAGTGTGCGGACATCTGATCGAATTCGTTTTGTTTGCACTGGACAAATGCCAAACGCGCTCAATTGGCCAATACTCCATTATTAATTTCTGCGCTCTAAATACATAATTCAACAGCAATAACGGTAATTTTGCATTGACCAATGCCGTTGGATGTGTAGAAATTGACTTTTGTAGACTTGTAACAATATTCACATGAGTATTTCCCACGCAGCAGAGTTAAGCAGCTGTGCCAAAGCACAAGGAAATGAAATGCAGGAGAATGGGTGCGAGAGTGTATGCGTGTATACACTTGCATGTGTGTGTGTGTGTCAGTGTGCTTGACAATTATTGCTTGTCACTGTCTAGCATTGGCTCTAGCTCCACTTACACTAAAATCAAAGAAGAGAGGGAGAGCGAAAGGCGCTTTATTAACAGTTATGCGTATGTGCTGCTTGTAGCTTTTGCTTTGCCCAATGACAGCTTATGTGTAGAAATTGAGTTCTGTAGACTTGTAAAACTATTCAAATGAGTACGACTCAGCCTGCAGAGCTCAGCAGCTGTGCCAAAGCACAAGTAAATGAAACGAAGGAGAGTAGGTGATGGCAAGAAATATGCATTATTAGCATGTGTGTGTGTGTGTGTGTGTGTGAGTGCGTGCGCTTGACAATTATTGCTGGTTACTTTCTACCATGAGTTCTAACTCCACTCACACTGAAATCAAATGAAGAGAGTGAGAGCGAGAGAGCGAAAGGCGCTTTGTTAACAGTTATGTTTATGTGTATATGCATGCTTATCGTACTCTTTAGTATGATTTTCTGACACTGCTGCTAGCTGCTCGCGCATGCAAGTGCTATAGGCACGCTCTCTTGATTAGTCGGCGTGTTCTCCACTGGAAGCATTTACCGCTATACACACAAGTATATTACAGTGGCTCAGAATCGACTATTTACGCAGTCAATGCGGCAGGTAACATGAGTACGCCAAATGCGGATTGTAGCAAAAACATTTCACGCATACCCCGTGGCCAAAGGGAGCGTGGGTATGCCATGGTATTATGTTACACCTGGCAAATTGCTTTAGTCCCTGATATTTGACCCCCATTTGATTTTAACAGATTACGCTCAAAGTAACTAATTATAGCAAATGAGTTGTTGTACAACATTAAATTATAATTACGCTTGGCTGTGGGCTGGGTTATTCGATAAGTAGAGCGAGCAGGAAAGCCACAGACCACGGAAGAACACGTTCCTAAAACTAATTAAAATCAATGTTGTGTGCAATCAAATGGGGCTTTAGTTTACTTTTTTACACTTTTTTGTTGATTGTAAAACATGACGCAGACATTTATTGGAGAACAAACTATAAATTAAGCGGGTAAGCCAAAAGTGATTAATATGTTTCACTGAAGAAATTCTCTTTAATCTGCTGAAAATTACGAGATTGCCATTTATAACATTAGTCCTATATAAGAAGCGAAAATGGGTATGGGAGAAGGACATTAAAATTCCTATATATAGGCTATAATAAGACTTGGAAAGAATCTGTAGTAGCTTGAATTGATTTGTATGGAATAAGTCTATGGAAACCTACATAAAATACTCAGATATACCTCAAATGCTCATATTCAATATTTACCCTCACATTCGTTATCAGATATACATATGTAGGTAAACTTACCTTGTTGGGGCCTAGATATAGATCAGCTATAGACAGTAAGTAAAGCAATATAATGTAAACAATAATCAATACAATAGGAAATATTCCCTATTGGCTAAAAATTCATATATGGTCAATACTACACATTTCCCATATATACAGGGTATATCAGCTACTTGATACTCATCGCTTGGATCTCAGATATTTGAATTCAATTGAAATTTATCCGTTTTGGAACTCAAGTATTTTTTATTGAATTGTCAATTTGCATTGGCAGCTGCGCTCGCTCATGATAATGATTATCATCATGATCATGATCATTGGCATTCTCATTGTCATTGGCATTTGGGGCCAGTGATGCAGCGACCCATTAGAGCCATAAATAGTCCGTAGGCACGCTTCCATTTGGGGCTGCCAAACTGGCTAGCTGGCCAACTGGCCAACTGCTCAACTGGGCTAATTAATTTCCCTCTGCGTGACTTGAATGGGAAAGTCAAGTTTGCAGTGGGCGGCGGTTGGCTGTTGGGTATTGCGCCGCTGCCTGTACTTGTATAATGCTCTATACCCTGTACTCGTTTCCTTTCGATTGGCAGCTGGCGAATTGAGTGTGAGTAATGATTAAATGCGTCTTTGGCCACGCCCACCCAATGATTCATGAGGCGTGAGCCAGAGAACACCCCGTTCTATCGCACTTCTCGTCAGCCACGCGCTCTCTTAAATTAACCACCCCCCCCTGACCATAGCCCCGCTTAAGATTGATCAGTTAAAGCAGCGACACACACAGACACACACACACACACAAGCACAGTGGCACACTCGTGCCTGCTTGCTCCTTTAAGCTGATAAGCTCAGGCAGCAGGCAAGTTAATCTGTAACTAGCTGAATTACACAAACACAAAAAAAACACACACACACACAGAAACAGAGTATAAGAGAGTGAGCTGCGCTTTAAACTGAGCGCGAGGGGGGTGGGCTGAGGCACATAAAATGCAGTGAGATATGGCGCAGTTCATTAAATTAATAAATATACTATGTATGAGCACACACACATACACATAGAGAGAGAGAGAGAGAGAGACGTAAGCGAGGTGCTTAACAGAATGGAGACTCTGGCAGACGGCTGACAACAACAGCAACAGCAACAACAACAACAACAACAACAGTAAACTGTAACAATAACATAAATAAACAAGCTTTAAATAGACGTTGGGCCAGCCAAAAACTTCATCAGCTGCCAACAAAAGTTACAGCAACAACAACAACATCAACGGCAAAAATCTCAAGGTAAATTATGCAAAAAGTGTTGGCCAAGAGGGGAGGGACGGGGCGTGGCGATGCGGCACGGTCGTGTAGAGTTAGAGGCAGGTTAACGCATAAGTTCAAATTTACAAAAGTTAACAATGGCAACAGACGTCGCCAGTGCGGCTCATTGGAGAATTGGAGACTACAATCCCAGAGCGTCTTAACTGTAGTTCGACGCTGGAGGCCAAATCAGTTGACAGACAGGCAGACCGACAATTGGGACGAAGGCCAAAAAATAAGTTGCAAAGTTCAAACTTAATCAGATTTGCACGAAAATTGACGTTAATAGTAAGCGCACTCGCTTAAAGCAAGCCAAATAAACTAAGGCTATATTTAGATACATTTTTATAGTATTTAGGCTTGAGTAATTTCTCCCGATTTCAATTTACATATGTATTTGCTAAGAGCTTTGATCGGCGTCATATGTTGCACTTGGTGTTTGCTGTCTCTTTCGCAATCATAATGCAAGTCTCCAGCACTCGCTCTCCACACGCTCTTCGCACTCTTCCATTCTCTCTCTCTCTCTCTCTCTCTCTCTGTCACACTCTTCGATTCATGCTCAGCTATTTGGCACCTTGCAATCGCACGCGTTCATGACATAATGGATAAAGCGCAGTTTCGTCTCTGCTTTGCGCTCTGCCCGCATTTTGCTGACCGAATTCGATAACTGAGCGTGTTTACAGTTAGACGCCGACGCTGCCCTTTATCTATAACTAATTGATAAGCTAATCGGGCCACAAAAACAAACTTAGCAATAACTTAGTATGTGACTTTTAGCATAACTAGCTTACTTAAGACTTTATTCCACTAGACACTCACACATACACAGATACAGAGATACACACACACACATACTTGCACACATAGACACATTCAATTGACACTAGCTTAAGATAATACAAATAGCGCCTAGTTCAGCGCGTCCACACAGCCTCTTGATCGGAGGGGTAGAGTGGGGCAGCGTCTAGACCGTTTGGGTAGCCACATCGCGCTGGCAAGTGCGTTTATAATAGCTGTAGGCCTCCAGGCCATTGATGCTAAATATCGTAAGACCAAAGAACTGCAAGGAACACAAAAAGAAAGAGAGAGATGAGTTCAAATATACATATATCTATTTTATGTTTGTATATGTAAGTATAAGAGAGCGAAGCTCAACTCACCGCGGCGGCTGTATAAGCATTGACGCTCAGGCCGAGCACGAAGTTAGAGGCAAGGAAATGGGCGATGGCCAGGGTCGCGTGCACGCCCAGCGACCATGACGCCGAGCTCCATCGCCAGCTCTGACCGAGCCGCAGGTAGCGGCAGAGCAGCAGCGTCAGCGTCACAGCGAAGCCAAGGAGAACGACGATTATGTAGAAGCAGCCGCGATAATTGCTCAGCCGCACCGAGCTGCACACGATGCAGAGGAAACCAATGAAGGCGCACAGCTGAATGAGTGGTAAAGAAGAAGAAGAAGAAGATGATGAGAGTGTTGCCTGCTATTGCTGTGCTTGTAGGCGTGGCCGGTGAATTACTTACCAGGCAGACAATCTTGGAGATTCCGCGAATGCTGCGCAAATACTTGCGATCGTAGTCATGATTAACGGACATGACCAGAGCAACGACAGTTGCCAAAAAGCAACACCAAAACCAAAACAAATCACGAAAAAACAAACAGAAAAACAAAAGCACTACACTTGCTAAAAGGTAAACAGTTAGCAAGCAACAACAACAATAACAAGAAGCGCGGCCTGTGCCCACAGAAAATCACATTGCGTGCGGCAGCAAGCACAAAATGCCACTGGCGACGACGAAACGACTGAAAGCTTAGAACAACAGCAGCGGCACGTATGCGAGCGAGTCAGAGTGAGCGCGCAATACACAACTACATGCATACACACGCACACACACACATGCATATACGAACGCAAGCAGAGAGAGAGAGAGAGAGAGAGAGTGAGAGCGGCAATTCGTAGAGCGCACTCTGAGGTGCTCACAGCCAGCGGCCGTCACTCGAACAAAATTTGTACCAAAAACAAAACACGCTAAGTGTACCACTCTCACGCAATATACACACTCATGTATACATACATATATAATTTCCATGAAATTTGTGAGTCATCTAAACTAAATTATTTGAGACTATATTTTTGGTAAATTTAACGTGCAAACTACTTTTAATTCAACATATGAAATATACAGTTTAGTCGTCACATTAAGTGTACCAATGCAACGATCAAGTGTACCATAGAGTACCAGTTTTGGTACATTTGTGCTCGCGGCTCTCTGGCGTGCATTTCCCTCTCTCTCTCTTTCGCTCTGTTTTTATTTTGTGTGCTCTGATAAACTCACTCATCGCCAAACTTGCTTGGACAACAAGCTTATCAGCTGTCGATCCGTTACACTCAGTTCAAATTCGCAGCGCTGAGTGGCCTTCGGCCTGCGATACGCAGCATAGATAAATGAGTGCTTAAATATCTACACATACATACACATGCAAGTGTAAGTGTATGTGCGTGTATACGTAATTACTAATTTACGATTGGATGGATTCTCACTCTCGCGCTCATTGACGTGAGTCATTTACATGTGGAAATGCATTGCATACTCTGTGATTCATTCCACCACACTCCAAATATAAACAAATGAGAAAAATCGTTAAGCATTGGAAATGTGGGCATTCAACTTACACCGACTTACGCATGCTCTGACAAAGTATGAATATATGCACACACATACACATACATACATATTTATCTACATACATATATTAGACTATTGGTGATTCGTCTTCATCCACATGCATGTAGAGTATATTGGCTGGCCTGCGTTAGTATAAGAGTGCTCTGCGTCTCGCTCTCTTTAGCATGCAATATTTCGATATGCAATGCAATTTCGATGTACTCCAATTACTTGCCTGAGTGTCAGTGTGAGTGAGAGAGCTCTACATTTGTATATCTTTATACTCTTTCATGTGAAAGCCTTGCGATATGCATTCCAATTGGAAAGTACCCCATTTGTCTGCTCGTTAGTGTATATCTCAACGCCGCATCAATTGAGTAACATATTTATTTTAATTGATTCAAATTCACTGTGGTCGGCATTAGATATGTTGTTGATTTAGTTTAGTTTTTTTTTTTCTATATATACATATACATATACATTCTTTTTGGGTGGGGGACACACCCGAAGTGCCCCACTTGGCCAAGGTCACGCGGCCCCAAATTCGAACGGAAACATATGGCTTAATATATTTAAGTGATATGCATGGGTGGTTAAATATGGAAAGCGAATCTCTTGAGAAGTCGTACAGCTCAATCTGCAGCTGCAACGGAAATGGGAGCAAGCGCAACAAACCGGAAGTGACATAATGCTAAACAATTGCTAAGCCATTCGTAAGCCTTCCATAAGAGTTAAGGATAAGGCAAGTGGAGTGATCGACTCTCTCTCTGTCGCTCTCATTGGATAGATATGCTTAAAGTGTATAAGAGATTCCTAGGTTTGCTGGCGTATAAGAGATTCCTAGGTTTGACTTTGTAGACTTAAGGATAGCTGAGTTAGGGCTTGGCATGCGTGCGAGCGAGACAGCGAGTGAGTGGATTAAAGAGTAGAAGCAGAACTAATCATATGCCCTATATATTTATCTCTATATGTGTAAGTATGTATGCACATATGTATGTATGTGTGACTGTACTCTTAGTAGCTATTAATCTTGGTACACAGTTTAGCTGCTATCATTTTATATATTTATTATATACATATATATTTATTCAGTTTTCGGTTCAAGCTCAAAATAAATTTAAAGTTAAGATATTTATTTATTTCTATAAATTAGATTTTCTATTTATATAATATAGAAAACCAGTTAAGCCTAAATAAAACTTGACGCCTTAATAAAATTTGCTAATGGGTTTTGCTATCATATCATATGACATTTAATTTGCATCAAAATCAAACTTCAAATCAAATTAATATAAATTCATTTTTTCGTCGATTTATATGCAGATAAAACCAGGTGGATTATACATATGTTTTACAATGCGATTCAATTAAATTTTTGGCTAAATTAATTTTACATATCGAAAGGATATTCAAATACCATCAGGATGCGATAGAAGTGGAGATATCTACCTTGATCATTTTCTGTTTCTCTCCCTCTCCCTTTTATCATGTCTTGGCCTCTCTTACATGATATTTCAAGCAAACTAGTTTCTGTCTTATGAAATTCCTATTGTAACTAAATATAAAGCAAACATTTTGAGCGTCTCTATGTTGAAGTTCTTGTTTATAGGGTATTTCACAGTCGTTATCATTTGGCTAGCAAAACTTTTTTCGTGCTATAAAATAGACTTTCATCTCTAATGGACTCTACTTAGTGAAATAAATCGCACCCACACACACTGACAAGCCCATGCTTGTATGTATGTATTCATGTATGAATATATGTAAATATTTACGTGCATATGCTCAACTATAAAATATTATTATTTTGATTATATAGTGCGTACCGAAAATTAGTAAATGGCTTTTCACAGCATTTAACTGCAGCTCGACTTCATTTGTTGTACTTTGAGCCCATTGAAATAAGGATAGAGCTGGGGTATATCGGCTATGTGCACAGGCATGCAACAGGCGGGCGGAAAAAGGTGTGAGGAGGTATATGTGTGTATTTTAAATACAAATAATAAAAATATATATATATATATATATATATATATATATATATATATATATATATAAATATATATATATATATATTGTATATGTTTAATATTTATTTAGAATGTTTAATATTCTAATTAAGAAACGTTTGTTTTTTTTTTAAATTCTATTTATTTTTTTTTTATATGAAATAAAATAGAAAATTTATCTTCTTTCTTTAATTTAAAATATGTGTTTTTTATTTATTTTTTAAAGTAAAATATTGCATATTAATAATTTTACAATATATAATGATTTATATTTTAATTTTAAAATAATAGATTATTATTAAAATTGAAAAAAAAAAGAAATCCAGATATATTAAGTGGATATTTATTGCTTAAGATTGTAGTGTTTAAACACCTATGATAAATACCTGAAATCTAAATATTTGTGATTTTTCGATACTTCAACCTATTGCCCCTTAAGTAGGACCTTTAGTCCGTAAGCCGCATTGTAAAGTGTGCGTACATGAATATTGCCAATTCTATAATGATGCTGGGTATCCACTAGTCAGGCATACCCTACTCAAGCACACTGCGTACGTGCGTGTTATTTGGCTGACTGCGTGGTTAAGTTTCCTCTAGGTGTTCAAACGATTTCCACCACACGCAAACACTAAAGAGTCAATTGCCAGCTGTGTGTGTGTGTGAGTGTGTGTGTGTGTGTGAGTGCGTTTGTGTGCGTGAGCTTTGCTGCATTGGCTGCCATGGCTGCCGTTTGTTTTCGATCGCGCTGAGTGCACTTCACAAATTCGCTCACCGTTTGTTCCCCATAATTTCGTGTGCGTTGCAGTGGGGCAATATGGCATGCCACCTGCACCACATGCACCGCAGTGCACCACAGTGCACCGCATGCGATGAAATGCCGGACAAAGCGCTACTTAGTCGACCCCAGAGCGTGACCCCAAAAGTCCAATAGCCCTGGGGCTGCTATGCGCATCAAATTAGCTCGGCTATTGCCAGCTCTTTCGCACACACCCAGCCGCGCAGCTGTCTCGCTCTAGACTCCAGTTGCACCTATAATATATATATATATACAGTATATATTTATATATACATATATATATTATTTTAATATGCTTGGCAATTCGCGCAAATATTCATAAATATTTTTTTTCTTTTTCGTTGTTGTTGATGATTTATGCACATGGTTGAGCGTTCAACCAACTCTCAACAGGCAAACGCACACAGATAAGGTATATGTGTGTGTGTGTGTGTAGCTCTACATGTCAGCTGCAGCTTTGCTACTGGTTAGCAGCCAAACAACCAAGCAGCCAATTTCTTTTATACTATTTTAATTTATCGCCCGTCAGACGTGTCGTATACGCAACGCACTCATCCCATGCAAGGACTACGTATGTGCACGTGTGTGAGTGTGTGGGTGTGTGGGTGTGGGTTTGTTGCTTCTACGGATATCTAATTAAAAATGCAGCTGGCTTAATTAGCAGCTGCAACGGTAACTGCTTTTTTTTTTGTTAACTCTCAACTAACAACAACAACAACAACAACATCAAGAACGTGTCTGACAGCCAATCAAAGAAGTCTTCCAGTTAAATGAAGTACTACTTGCTCAATTGGCTGCTCTTGACTGTCACTTGGCTGCTGGCGTGCTGCTGTGGGGTATGCACGACTCACACATACCACGTGAGCGACATGTTTAGACATGTTTGCACTGCATTTGCTTCAAATAAAAACCTGATCGAGCAAGAGTAATACTTTATCGATAAATATGCCTCGGCATATGCTTCAGTTATCGATAACTTTCGCATGAGCAAATGCCTATTGTTATTTATAAATTTGATAACATTTTTATAGCATGCAATATATAGTATATCAATAGAAAATACTGTATATCTATTCTCATATATCTATATATATATATTCTGTATATCTATTTTAATCCAAAATAGCTCTGTCTATCAATCCGTCTGTACGTTTTTCTCACCTTTTCATATTTCATTCAAATCTATAAAACAAAAAAAAACATCAAATTAGAGTGCATGAAAAGTGCATTACTGGGTAAGTACACTTGGAAAGTACTTGATCCCGCTGGGTGCGTCAATTAGGTCTGCTTAAGAGACTGCACGGAAGGAAAGAAAAGAGATAGAGTGAGTGAGAGA